GCCTCACTAAACCATCTCTCAGGAATAACCTCTGAGGTTTGATTGAAGAATGGAGGCTATATTAAGTATATATTTATGTATTCATCAAAGAAAACCTATAAAAGACCAAATAGGACAAGGAAAATTCCTGAAAATCCCCGGGGCCGAGGGATTCCTGACTTCCCTTTTATCAATGCTGCACGTACTCACTTTGGTATTACTGGGAATTTCTCACAACCTAGTTTTTTCCACTCAGCGTGTGATGTTTATTCCCCTCACCCTCGATTGTTTTCTATGATATCATTTTCATACTCGCTTAGTATTCTGCTGCTGAATTTAGCATAGTTTATTTATCCAATCACTAAATACGCAGCATTTGGGTTGTGTCCACGTTTTTCCATTATAAATTACGTTGTAATTATTATCTTACGGATGGAGCTTTCTGCACCATCAGTCATGATTTTTAGGTCAGGAGCGAGCTCACCAAGCATCAGAACAGCAAGCTATTCATGTGTCGGCACCATCTCTCTGGGTCTGTGAAATGGGCTATATTTTGTTCCCCACTGTGTCCCTGCCTCTCTGACACTAAGGCCTGACCAATTCCTGTTATCCCAGACTGGGCTGGTCAGGGGAGGCTTCAAGAAGGAGGAAGGAATTTTACACACTCATTTGCATCTGAATTTCAGTCCATCTTTATAGCTTTTTAGCTAAGATTTTTTAACCTCTCTGAAACGTGGTTTCCAGGCAGTGAAGGCTGCATTAAAATATTCACGCCACTGCATTGTCATGGGGATTTAGATGGGCGGTAACCTCACAGTAGTGCTGTTATTATTACTCTCAGGACCATTTTTATAATCAGATGGGGTAGCAATGCAGAGACTGAGTATGGCCACACCCCTGCTCTGTGGACCCCAGGCCCTCTTCATGACTGTAATAAACACAAGAATCCTCCCCATTACCTGGCCACGGCTGCCTGTCTTCATCCCCTGGAAGCAAACGTTTATTTAAGAAGTAGAGGAAACACCAACAATGGAATCACAAGGTGGGAAAGGGAGATAGGGAAGAGAAGAAGCTGAGAAAGAGCATGTGGCTAAGCCACCACGGCTGCTACACTGTGATGACTGAGGGCGACAGGGGCTCTCTCCTGCTGGGCGCCCCGGGAACCGTGTACAACACACGTCTCAGAGCCACCCACCCAAGGGGCCAGGGAGCTGGGCTGTTTATCTGCCCAGCTGTGGTTGTGGGTTGCTACAGGGAGGGGACTCCCTGCACTTCAGAGAAGGCCACCAGGCCAATAGCACAAGGATGCGTAATCAAACCTGGACCAGAGCGCCAGGAAATAAGGCAAGCCAGTGGAGAGCTCCGGTTGGCACTGAGGCAGGTGCTACGCTGCCAGTGCACACCCTGGTCAGCTTCCTGTGGCTCGTCCAGCTCCCTGGGCAGCTTTTCTATACTATGAGACCAGAGAGAGCATCCAGTGTTGAAGTGGGAGGCAGACCCAGAAGGAAACCTCAGCAGCCTCCTGTGGAGCTTGTTGATTGGCAGCAGACCACCCAGGCAGCTTGGTCCAACAGCAAGCATGACACAGCAGGTAAGGGTTCCAGGAGCATAGGCTTCCAGTCTGTAATGAACCAATGCCGTATGCCCCTTGCACTGATGAAATGTGACACCAGTCTTGCCTAGGTATTTCTGCTCCTTTTCTCTGGGTGAGCCAGAGACACTTGGAGATGATCTCTCTCTTGCTGAGGGAGAAGACAGAAAGTGCTCAAATGAGCCCAGGTGGGAGGGAGAGAGACAGACAGACCTCAAGAGATTTAGAATAAACAGCTGGCTCACACAGTTATGGAATCTAAGATGTCCTAAGATCTGTGATCATCAAGCCAGAGACCCAGGAGAGTGGGGAGTATAAGTTCCATCCAAGCCTGAGTCTGAAGGCAGAAGACCCATGTCTCAGCTCAAAGACAATCAGGCCGAAAAAGAGAGTCCATCTTTATGCAAGCTTTGTTTAATTCGGGCCTTCAGCAGACTGGATGAGGCCCACTCCCAGTGGGCGAGGGCGGGGGGAAATTGCTTTATTCAGTTTACTGATGTTACTGTCAACCAGAAACCCAGAAACACACTTGCAGACATACACAGAATAATGCTCAACCAAATATTTGGGCACCCTGTGGTCCAGTCAAGTTGACACAAAAAATTGCCATCACTGGTCAACCCTTTGTCAACTTCACCCTCATATGCACCTTTATAAACTCTACTTAATGTGCAAATAAAGACAATAGCAAGATCAAAATTCTGTCAATCACAATACAATTTTCCTGTATACAGCCACAAACGCGCTAATTTCTTCCCCAGCAGAGGAGTAACATCCTTCCTTCAGTGATCCTTACACTTGTCCTTGTTATTCCTTAAAATAATATTTACATAATAGATGTAAAGTTAGCAATTTAAAAACACTGTGATAGGCCGGGCGCGGTGGCTCACGCCTGTAATCCCAGCACTTTGGGAGGCCGAGGCGGGTGGATCACGAGGTCAAGAGATAGAGACCATCCTGGTCAACATGGTGAAACCCCATCTCTACTAAAAATACAAAAATTAGCTGGGCATGGTGGCACACACCTGAAGGCCCAGCTACTCGGGAGGCTCAGGAGGGAGAATTGCTTGAATTCAGGAGGCGGAGGTTGCGGTAAGCCGAGATGTTGCCATTGCACTCCAGCCTGGGTAACATGAGCGAAACTCCATCTCAAAAAATAAAAAATAAATACTGCGATATAAATTTAGTGCAAGCCAAGTGCTGTGGCTCATGCCTGTAATCCCAGCACTTCATGAGGCCAAGCAGATAGATTGAGCCCAGAAGTCTGAGACCAGCTGGGCAACATGACAAAACCCCATCTCTACAAAAAATACATAATTCAGCCAGACATGGTGGTGCATACCTGTCATCCAAGCTACTTGGGAAGCTGAGGTGGGAGAAACACCTGAGCCTGGAGCAGTCGAGGCTGCAGTGAGTCGTGATTCTGCTACTGTACTCCAGCCTGGGCTACAGAATGAGACCCTCCCTGTCTGAGAAAAATTAATTAATTAATTAATCAAGTCAATACTTACTAAGTACATGATAAGTGTATAAGAGAAGAAAGAATAGAAGATATTTGCTTAATAGGTGTATATATTTGTTGATAAACACATGTTGTATGCACAAACTTAGTCATAAAAATTAGGAGTTATGCTCAGTGATGACAGCCCTCACTTCTGTAACTGGCCACATGGTCCCAGTTGGTGTTTTGCTCACCTCTTCCATCTCTTCCTCTGTATTCCCTGCAACTTCAGCAAGCACCTCAGCTGCTTGTGGCTTTTTACCTGTGGCCTGAACCTTCATTCCTGAAGGCTCTGGACCATTACCAGTCCTGCCTGAATCAAGCTGCAGTTTTCCATTGACTTTAACAGGACATGATAGTATTAAGAGATGCCCTTTGGGACCTGCTGTATTCCAGACATACTCCTCCTTGTCCCCATTGTGGAGGAGCAGCCCAGCTTCCCCTCAGTAGACAGGGTCACCACCCACCCAGCGCAGTAACACTTTTCTTTGCTTGTTGATTCAGAGACAGAAGTTCTAAGTAGCCAAGTGACGGTCTTAACTTTGGTTTGGTGGAATCATTGTTAAGTTTCCTGGTGAAAGCATTCCTCTTTGTGGAACTAAGATCTCCAGGCCAGTAAAGCATCAGATCACAGAAACAGGAAGCAAAAAATTTGCTGTGGGTCATTAGAGGTGGTAGTAAGAGGTGCCACTCCCACTTCCACCTTTAACTTCTAGACTCGTGAATCCTGACTATGGAAGAAACAACATCACACACTGGATGCTGATTCAGAGCATATACAGCCTCCTCGATGACACTGTCCCAACCCTAGAAGGTATGGCCACCCAACTGGCACTGTAACTGAGTCTTCAAAGGAGCATTCTGCTTTTCTATCAAATTGGCTTCTTCAGAAAGGTGCGGACATGGTAAGACCAGCTGATTCCATAAGCATTGGCTGATGGCTGCACTTACTTTGCTGTGAAATGTGTTCCTTAGTCAGAAGCAATGCTGTGTGGACTATCATGATGGAGAAGACATTCTGTCAGTCCACAGATGGTAGTGTTGATAGAAGCACTACAGGCAAGGAAGGCAAATCCATATGCAGAGTAAATGTCTATTCCACTAAGGCTAAACATCACCCCTTCCATGATGGAAGCTGTTCACTGTAATCACCCCGCCACAGGTAGCTGACTGATCACCCCAGGGCATGATATCGTACTGGGCACTTAGTGTAGGTCTCTGCTCCTGGCCAATTAGACACTCAGCAGTGGCTGTAGCCAGCTCGGCCTTGTGAGTGGAAGTATACGTTGCTGAGCCCATGTAAACCTCCAACCCTGCCACCATGGCCACCTTGTTCATGAGCCCATTTGGCAATTACAGGGGTGGCTGGGGAAAGAGGCGGACCAATAGCTACAGACTGGGTCATCCTATCCACTTGATTGTTAGATTTCTGCTCTGCTAAGGTCACCTATTAGAAGGCATTCAACATAAGACTTAACACCTTAAAAACCCTAGAAGAAAACCTAGTCAAAACCATTCAGGACATAGGCATAGGCAAGGACTTCATGACTAAAACACCAAAAGCAATGGCGGCAAAAGCCAAAATAGACAAATGGGATCTAATTAAATTCCAGAGGTTCTGCACAGCAAAAGAAACAATCATTAGAGTGAACCGGCAACCAACAGAATGGGAAAAAAATTTTGCAGTTTACCCATCTGACAAAGGGCTGATATCCAGAATCTACAAAGAATTAAAACAGACTTACAGGAAAAGAAAAAACAAACCCATCCAAAAGGATATGAACAGACACTTTTCAAAAGACATATATGAGGCCAACAAACATATGAAAAAAGGCTTACCATCACTGGTCATTAGAGAAATGCAAATCAAAACCACATTGAGATACCATCTCATGCCAGTTAGAATGGCAATCATCAGAAAATCTGGAGACAACAGATGCTGGAGAGGATGTGGAGAAATAGGAACACTTTTATACTGTTGGTGGGAGTGCAAGGTAGTTCAACCATCGTGGAAGACAGTGTGGCAATTCCGCAAGGACCTAGAAATAGAAATACCATCTGACCCAGCAATCCCATTACTGGGTATATATCCAAAGGATTATAAAGCATTCTATTATAAAGACACATGCACACGTATGTTCGTTGAAGCACTATTTACAATAGCAAAGACCTAGAACCAACCCAAATGCCCATTGATGATAGACTGGACAGGGAAAATGTGGCACATATACACCATGGAATATTATGCAGCCATGAAAAACAATGAGTTTGTGTCCTTTGTAGGAATATGGATGAATCTGGAAATCATCATTCTCAGCAAACTGACACAAGAACAGAAAATCAAACACCACCTGTTCTCACTCATAGGGAGGTGTTAAACAATAAGAACACATGGACACAAGGAGGGGAGCATCATACACTGGGGTCTGTCGGAGAGGGGACTAGGGAAGGGACAGTAGCGGGGTGGGGAGGTAGAAGAGGAATAACATGGGGTGAAATGCCAGATATAGGTGACAGGGGAAGGAGGCAGCAAACCACCTTGCCATGTGAGTACCTATGCAACAGCCCTGCATGATCTACGCATGTACCCCAGAACCTAAAATACAATAAAAATAAAAAATAAAGCATTCACATAGGTCACAAATATCTTCCCATACCTTTTTCACCTCCAAAGATGTCTATCTACATACCTCTTCCCGACTCCCTTATCACCATTTTTCCAATCATGTTCCTTCTAAGTTCCTGACCATCAGCCTAACCAGTGACCACAGCCCATGAATCAGCTTGTTTCCCATGTCTGGCCATTTCTCCTTCCAGGCAATGAGTACAATCAAGTATACCGCTCAAAGCTTTACCCACTGGGAGGATTTCTCTTCACTGCTGTCCTTCAGGGATGTCCCAGAATGGGGCTGTGGTGCTGCAGCCTCCACTTTCAGACGGTGCCTGCATATTGTACAGAACCATCTGTAAACCAGGCCTGAGTCTTCTCTTCATCCTTAAACCGATTCTAGGGAACTCTTCACGAGGCCACACATGCAGGCTGGGAGAGAGAAGGCAGCATAGCAAGAGTGGGGACCATGGACATTTGGGGGACTTCGTCATGTAACTTGCTTGTGCCTTCAGAGCCTGCCTGGGCCCAATCACATATATACCACTTCCATTTGGTGATGGAGTGCTGCTGTGAACACCCTACTTTATGGCTCGTTGCTCAGATAACAATCAGCTCATGATGGACAACCAAGGCTGCATGGTAACTTTGTGACCCATGGCTAAGTGCTCGGCCTATACTAAGCTGTTTCTCAAAAAGGGAGTAGTTATTCACGGGGTACAGCAGGGATCTTCTCCAAAATCCTAAGGGCCTTCACTGTGATTCCCCTCCAGGAGCTTGCAAAAGACTCCTTGCAGCATCCCCGTCTGCCACTGACACTCTGAGGACCCCTGGGTTTTCTGGGTCCCATGCACAGCAGCCTGAACCTGCTGCAAAGTGTTCTCTTGTTCTGCTCTTGTTTACTCAAACCTTGAAGCTTTTGGGGTCACGAGATAAATGGGATGAATAACCCAGAGGAGGAATATGTTGCCTCCAGATTCCAAAGAGGTCCACAAAGCATTGTGCCCCTTTTTTGGTTGTAGGAGGGGCCAAGTGCAACAACTTACCCTTCACTTTAGAAGGGATATTCCAGCAGGCCCTACACCACAGGAAGCCTAGACATTTCACTGAGGTAGAAGGCTCTGAATTCTTTTTGGATTTATTTCCCACCTTCTGGTACACAAATCTTTTACCAGTAAGTCTGGAGTCATAGCTACTCCTCTCTCACTAGGTCCAGTAAGCATAGTGTCATTAATGATGTTAATTAATGTGATATCCTGTGGAAGGGAAAGGCAATTAAGATCCTTGCAAACAAGTGTGGTGTTGATAGGCCCTAAGGAAGCTCAGTGAAGATGTGTTGGTGACCTTGACAACTGAAAGCAAACTGCTCCTCGTGGACTTAACAAACAGGCAAGAAGAAAGAGGAACTGGCCAGATCAGTAGCTGCACACCAGGACCCAGGGATGTGTTACTTCACTTAAACAATGCAGCTACATCTGATACAGCAGCTGCAATGGAGCCATTGCCTGGTTAACTTATGATAAGCCACGACCAGCCTCCACCATGTGTCTGTCTTGGGCACAAGCCAAATCGGCCAGTGAATACGTGTGGCAGGAATCACTACCCCTGTATCCCTGAAGTCCCTAATGGTGGCACTAATCTCTGCCAGCCGTGTAGGAATGTGGAGTTGCTTTTGGTTTATTATTTTCCCAGCTAGAGGCAGTTCTATTGGCTTCCACTTGGCTTTTCCTACTCCAATAGCCCTCATTCCACATGTTAGGGAACCAGTTGGGTGAGGATTCTGAAAGCTACTAAGTATGCCTATTCCAATCATGCATTCCAGAACAGAAAATAACCACAGGATGGGCTGTGGGACCCACTGGGCCCACTGTGAGGTGGACCTGAGCTAAAATTCCACTGATCATCTCAATCCCTCCCCCGACCCAACTCCATCAAAAAAAGACCCAGATCTGATTGGTGGGCCACAGTGAAATTTTGGGTCTCCTGGAATTAGTGTCTGCTCAGAGTTAGTGACTAGCAGTCTCTGAAAGGTCTCCTTTCTTTTCCCAAATGCATAGTTACCCTGATATATACATACATGTCTCCATTTGGGGAAGACTAGAAGCTAGATTAACAGCACAGACTTTTGGGACTGCCACGATCCTTCTTCCAGGTGACCTGTCCTCCCCTTCATTCGAGGGGCTCTGGGTCTGTAAACTGGCTTTGGTGTGGAAATTGATTGAGGGACCTTGATTCTCTGTTTTTATGTTTCAGGTTAGATTTTTACTCAGTTGACCTAGAACTTTTCTGTTTATTAAAATCACTTATGAATTTAGTAGACTTCCTGTCTATTTCACTTCTAGGAATGCCACGATCAACGAGCTGATGCCATAGGTGCTTTGGAGTCAGTCTACTTGATTGCTGCTTTGGCCCTGCCATCCATTAGCGTAGCCATGCCTACCTCGTCTTTGGTGGCTGAGTGCCGCCTCCTGGCCCCTGTCACCCAGGATCTGATTACTGCATGCCAGTAATTAGATCCTGCACTGCACTTAGATCCCACTGCACTGAGCTGTCTTAATTGAGTGGCTGTCATCGCCAATGTAAGTTCCGGCCATCAGAGAAGTATGATCACAGAGGTCCTCAAGGATGCCAGGGCTGCCCTCCCAGACTTGCTTCTCACAGTCGTGGTGAAGAGTATGGCTTCTGGCCTCTCCTATTGTGGGTGAGTAGCTCCGAAAGGACAAATCCAGTATAACACGTCCTTTGCTAAAGAGTGCACATTTGCAGATTAGCGCATTACCGGCTCAAACATAATCGCTCACCAGTCGAGAAACTGGGCCTTGGTAAATGCTGTAATTCCTGTGTTCAAAAACTCCTGTGGATTGCTGCCAAAGCATAGTATTAAATCAGAATGACATAAATCAAATCTTATGAAATTCAAATTTAGAAGAGTACACACTTAAAACTAACGCTTGGGATAAAATTTTTTTAATGAAAATCTAATCTCAGATCCCAGCTGAGACTTAGATGACACTTTTAGACTATTAGCTTACCTTTCCGAAAATCAAGCAATGTTTTGCATAGCAGATGTCATTTATCCCTCACAAGGCAGCCCCTTGGCCCAATCAAACGGTGCAGGGTACGTCCGTGCACGTGGCTAGCTCCCACCACAAGCCAGGCTTCTCACTCTTGTAGTAGAATGCTGTAGAGAATCAAGGGCTAGAACTCATGGGATGCTGGGTTAGAGTTAGAGACATCGGCGTAAAGTTATATTTTGCTTAATATAAAGATAGAGGGATAGACAGATGTTAGCAAACACACAGTGGGCTAGCTGCCTGTACCTCGGGCCTCTCTCCAAAGCCAACTGACCCTACCGGTACAGCCTGGGAATGTGGGACGGGGATGGTGATGCTGTTGGTGTGTGTCCCAGGCACAATCACTGCCAATGAGGACTAGCAGCTGGTGCATAAATGTCCCATCTTTAAAGGGCTGACTTTTAGATGACTTGTACAGGGCTTCTCAGAGGATCACTACTTAGACAAACGCCATTGCCCACAGCAATAACCAGCTCCATTATGTTCCTCTATTGATTTCCTGTCTGTTCCTGTCTCCTTCCCCTCGTTTATCCTCCTTGGGATCACCTCTTAAATAAAGTACCTACACCCAGAATGACGTGTCAGGCTCTGCTTTTGACAGAGCCCAGGTAAAGACACTGGCTTGCCTAATACCTATGAAAATGTGGAAACCCATGTGTTTAGTTTTCCATGTTGGGAAGTGATGAATGTGTGTTACTTCTGTGTTAGATAAGGCCAGAGGGCAGGTATTCTTAGGACAAGAGCACTCATTTGATGGGGAATTGATTTCAGTAGGTAACTTTCTATTCTCAGTCCTAATAAATTTACTGATCACTTACTGCATAGAAAATTTCATGACATGCACTATGAAAGGTAGAGAGGAGAATAAATTAATTTAATCTCTTGTAGTTATTATTTTTTAGGAGGTGTCAGCATATGGAAACGTGACCAGCATGGTATTTTAAAGTTCCAAGTGTCAAGCACAAAAAGGCAGCTCATTCTCTAAGAGTTATCTAAGAGATTGAACATATTAGTAGAAACTAGGGTAGTGAGGAAACACATCACAAGATGCATGAGCCTTGAAACCGGCTCTGAGAAATTACTAGGTTCCTGACCAATACTGAGACACTAATGTCATAATTCTGAAGAGTAGCTCCCCTCCTTCACCCAACATGAATTTGGCCATTCTATCTAGGAGTCACTGCCCCACGGTGGATAATGGGATAAGCCAGCCACCACTAACATGCAGGAGCCAGGAGTAACCCTACAAATGGTGAAGCATGAGGCGGAGAGCGAGGAAGTGGCAGACCTACAGTGGGA